CTTCAGAGCCCCTCGCATACTTTTCACACTCGCCGGGCTTTGCAACTGCGCACGGCACCCGCAGACGCCGTAGCACTATTCATGATTATCGCTAACTGTTCCAAGGTTCAGCCTTACCAGTGGAAGGGAACATTGTCCCGGAAGAAGGAAGACCACGGTGACGCGTGTCTCCGAACCTGTGCGTCATTCCCCAAACTCCTGAATGAATGTGATAGTTCATCCTTCCCCTGGGGCAGTTAGTTTGGTGTTAGAGATGTTTCGGGCTCGTACAGCTTGCGGCGCGGACGCCAGGCGGTTCCGCGGCAAACGGATCAGGTAATCGCGTCCAAGGAACCCAGCAATCTGCGTGGATAAGTTCTCAGCCATAGTCACGTCCAGAGAAGAATGTCGCTGGAAATCGCAAGTCTTAATTCCGAAGAGTGAGGCAGCAAAAGGCAAGTAGTGCCGAAGTTCCCTCAGCGTTACGTTTCCGGCTGCTCATTGTGCTCGTTCAAATATTGACGGAATTTGTTGGACTTTTTAGAGAACATTGAGCCCTTCTCCCATATAATGAAGGAACAACGAAACTTATGAAAGAGAATGACGTTTTCAGATAAAACTGACCACAAACCTCACCGATCTTCCTACCGGAAACTTTGACAAAAAGCAGTTGTACAAAGGACTGTCTCAGGTAATGTTCTCGTTGGTCTCGAAATCCTAATAGTATTCATGAATCATTGTACGCTGCGTTTCACACGCACACTGCGCTTTAGATATCTATAAGCAACGACCCGTGAAATCCTTCCAGTTCTTCCTACGGGCTGCTCGAGGTCGCTACCCGAGAGTCCAGTCTTTTGAGATCCTTCTCTGGTATTACGTCTCTCCTACCTTCCATACCATCGCAGTCGCTGCATTCGCGCTTTAGTTGGATAGGGTCGTCTGCGTGACCATCCCTATGCTAACATGTTCGTTACTGAATCCGTTCAGTAGTGTGCAACTGCAGGTCGATCCCAGCACCCCTATTTCAGCGAAAAAACCAGGCTAGGCGTAGCTTCCTTCCTGGTTTTCTATAATGCGAGCCAGGTATTGCTGACGACACCCGTAGGCCTACTAACCAGTCCTTCTACACATTGCCCGGTCGGCTCCAGACCGCCGCTGAATCGTACAGGATACCAAATTATCCATGCATTATTTCAATTCTTTTCGATTCTTTATCTGGTCAACACTGGGGTCAGCGGCTGGATTTGTGCCCAGGTGACAAGGTCTTAAATGTCTTCCACCTCGGTCTAAATGTCTTCCACCCTTTCGATGATCGTGTCGCGGCGGTCCATGATGGGTTCGGTGCACTGAGGAGCTGAGAAACTTGACCTTCCTCACTTTCATTGGGAAGCCATTCTCAGCCAGCACATCCTGCCATTTCTGCACCACCCCTAAGGTTCTTTACTGCTGTCCGCTACAAGGGCGATTTGTCCACTTTGAGGAAGGTTTTCAATGACCTCACGTGATTTTTTTGGCCATCTCATACAGGGCATAGAGGAAGGGAAACGGGCTGATACTTGGTGTACCCTATAGTGATGCCTACTTCTACTGCCAAGCAGCGCGTAGTGCGCATTGTCACTTAGTCAAATCGTGTTCTTCCTTGACGAGCAGGATTGGGTGTTCGGGAACATTCCGTCGACCGAGCGCTCTTTAGCAGTGCAGGTCGCGGTAGACGACCGAATGCCTTTTAACATTTAGTGAGGCTGTGTAGAAGGGTGGCCGGTTTTCTCTGATAGCTCTCCATCGCCTCATCATCTGCCATATGTACGGTCATCTTAGGATTAGTGGTGAGGGGGGAAGTTAGTTGGTGCTAACTAGCGCCAAAAATTTCAGGTCAGGAAAGCTATTGACGACTTCGGCAATCAACGTCAGGCCATTAAAAACACTTTACATCAATTGGTCAACGAGACGTTTTCATCGGTGAGCTGATACAGAACATCATTCTGGTACAGATAGTGTTCTCAATCGTATTACTACCTCCCATCATTTAGGTATTTAACCATATTGCCCACTTTATAACAGGTTTATCCCGCTCGGTAACCAAATTCTTGGAAAGACATGACGTAAGTTCATGTCCATTTCAACAAAGACAACTACACACACTTCCTTATGACTTGTGACCGTACGTTGGATCCGTGCCACATGCACCGGCGGCTCGTCACAAAACGGCCAAAGTGCACTTCGATGATATGTAGAGAAGATGAGACAACTAGAGTCAACTCCCACGTTACATCGAGAACCCGGTACCGACCGATTTACAAGTTAGATATTAAGTTTATCGGTGTATTCACCGTTGTGCTTTCATAAGCAACTATCACCCCCCCCCCCTCCCACCCACATGACCTCCTCTGGCAACCTCAGCACCTTAGTATTTCACTTGGTTGGTACCTTAGAGGCAATGATGAACACTGAATCATAGCTACCATTTGCTCAAAGGCAAGTGGCACGATAAATCTCCTAGACGTGTAGGATCAATACGCCTGGTAGGGCAGAATTTGGCACTCCTCAGCAGGTACTGCGTTTCACCTTTTCCGAGAAAAGTGCTCTTATAGTGCCCTATCGAGCTGCAACATACCGACCCAGACGCCCACAAATGGACGTCGTACCTGATTCGATCATTTGCGAACGTAACATATGAAGCAAAGCGGTCTGGGATATGAAGCAGTTACGGTGCTGAGCCCGCTTGAGTATGAATAACATTATGGTATAATTTTATCATTTCATAATTGGTACATACATGGCGGCCGGTCTACCAGCGTGTTATTGCGCCCGATGCCAGCTGGGGAACTCTGTCCCGAAATTGCTCTTGCTGAGTCGGGCAAGAACAAGCTTCTCTTTGGCCAATACTTTCCTTTCACTTTGCTTTTTCGTACTTCAACTTGTATTTTCCCCAACCATAATGCATCCCTTGGACATTTTAGACCGAAACTCAAACATCGTGAAGTAAAAAGCATGAAAGGCACTCCCCCCACCCAAAAATTTCTTTGCAAAAAGGTCCCAAAATGTCCATAAGAATCCAAAAGTTTTTGTTAAAAATTTCCTAGTTTTGTTTCTTTCTCCAAATATTTCGGTGCCTTGCACCATCTTCAGCCATCTGAGGTACTGTAATTAGGAAAATGGACAGTTGCTATGGGGGGCGGGGGACCGTGGGGGCCTCAAGCGGGAGACGTGTGAAGCTTCGGATAATCGCGGATTGCGCTTTTGATACATGCGCCAAGAACGTTTTTATATGAGTACCAATTGCACACTGGTCAGACTGAATGCCAGAAGTAGTAAGAAAACTTGAAAATCTTAACTCGAAACTTTCAGAAATTCGCCTCACATACGCATTACATTTACTACCTTTGCATCATAATACCTGCACTACTAGTGGTCATATGCGCCATCTCTATGATATTTCTACTGATTCGGTGAGTGACAGCTTTCTTCCCACTTCCCAAACCTATGTCATGACTCAAGAAGACATACATGTCGCCCTATTTTTTAGAGGAATATTTAATTTATTCATAAAAGATCCTGACAATGCTAAACGTGGGTTGTTGTCCAAGTTTGGTGGCGAAATTATGGGAGCAACAGGATATCTGGCTATGTTGACGACCGCCTTACTTTTCATCATGTCGGCGTGAGTTTTCCTTGAAAATACCTAGTACTGAGAAAGCTCATCGCAAGATGGATTATTCATCCAGTCAAGAACTCAAAGGTCGATCCTCTTCAATTTCACTTGACTTGACATCTGAGAAAACGCATCAGTTCTTTTAGGTTTGCGTTTCTGACGGCATTTGCAGCGATGGTAGTATGTGTGGGTTTCTTCGAGGACAGAGAGCTACGAGTGTTCCGCATCACCGATCGTCTTTTCTTGCCGGAAAACACGTTGAACATAAGAGTGTCGTATGTTTCCAATATCTATGGTTTCTGTACAAGTCATCTAGAAGTAGAAATGTCAGCAGCCAGAAATTTAGAATACTCATATGTAACTATGAAATGTACTGTATTGCTGCGTTGCGTGCGCAGGGTACAGCATCGTTGTGCGAGGGACATAGGGGGTCGTACTTTTCCCTTTTCCGCACATATCGGGGTCGTACTTTTCCGCTGGGGGGTCGTATTTGGTCGTCGGGTGAGGGGGGGGGGTCGTATGTGCGTTTGAGAGAAATTTGCTGCGTTGGGAAAAAATTTCTCCCGGTTGTTGACTTTTCGCGTGATTTGCCTGTTTTGCCTTTTTCATGTGTACTATTAGGCAACCAAAAAAGTTCGTGCGGTTGTGAAGGTAG